ATGAGGAGCTTAGGCTCTAGCCAATGGATAACAAGAAGGTGAATACCAAGCATCATCACTGCACTCCAATTACCCAGAGCATGGCCAGAGATGGTAGACTCTGTGAGAGAGAGGCCCTCCTCAGTGGAGTCTACATTCATTTGAATACTAGAGTTTACAGACCTTAAGGAAAGTAAGAGGGGGGTACCACAGCCCCAAAACCACAGGGAAGTAGTTGTGACACCCAAGTAAGGAATAATCACTTCTTGGTTTTGGACTTTGGGGTGGTGGTGTGGACAGGGCTGGGGCAGCCAAAGTCTTCCCAGGCTATGGGAAATAGGCAGGAAGTGGTCCAAGTGGGTAGACCTAGATGGCTATGAAGGCAAGTTCCACTTAAGCCCTCGGACCCAAACCCTTAAATAAGGTATAAAGAGCTGAGGAAGACAGTGAAGGCTCTAGCCAGGCCCCTTTGACAGCTGTGGAAGAACCCAGATACAGTCAAGGTCCACTCAGAAAATAGCAGTCTTCATAGGATGACAGATACAGAGCTGAAAGTGACCCAGGAGGCCATTTAGCCCAACCTTCCCCCATTTTACAGATGAGGAAACTGAGGTCTAAGGTGGCTGAGTGACAGATGGCTTTATGGGTCTGAGGTCATACCTTGAGAGTTCTATCACCTGACCTCCCCCATACCTGAAAACTTCTGTGTATCACCCCCAAGTTCCAATTCATCCCCTCTCCACCTTCTTCTTCTCTCTAGTTTCAGGAGGAAATGCCCATCTCCTTCCCTTTCACTCGTATTCTTGATCTCATCCACTTCCATGTCCTTTATGACCTTGCTCCCTCGTTCATTCTCTCTGTCTCTCTCTCTCTGTGGCTCTCTGTCTCTCTCTCACTCTTTCCTCTGGACTGACTCATCTTCTGCTGCCTACGAAATTGTGTTAGTATCCCCATCTCCTCTATCCTAAAACCTCCTTTGACCCTGAAGCTGTTTTCCTATTGCCCTCCTTCCTTTCAATATCAAACGTAGAAAGAATAGCCTATGCTTGCTTAGGCCACTTCTTTACCACTCATGAACTCCTCAGACTTCTTGAAATCTGGCTTCTGGAGCTACCATTCTACTGAAACTGCTCTCTCCACAGCCACCCGTGATACTTAATCGCCACATTTTATGGGCTCTTTTCAGGCCTCATCATCCTTGACCCGACTGCATCATTCAACACCGTTGACTGCTCCTTATGGATAATCTCTTCTCCCATAGTCTCTGCAACACTGCTCTGAAATGTTTCACGCCACTCACCTTCATCCAAGCTACATTTCAGCCCAGTGGCCTACTCCACATTCTCCAGTCTTGCCCTGTTCTTTCTAGCTCCTAAACCTTTTCATAGGCCATTCTTCATGACTGAAAGTTCCCTGTCCGACTACTACACCTTCCTACCCTCACTCCATGCCCATACCACCTCTAACTATTAAAATCCTTCTCTAACAAGGCTCATTGGACCACACTCTCATCCTGACTACAGACTCTTCTTCCCCTTAAACTAGCTGCTCCATACTGAGAAAAATTACTCTGGCAGCCTGTGCACGATGGATTGGAGGTAGGACAACTTGACAGGGGAGAGGAGGAGAGCATGAGATTGAGGAAGATAGATTTCCAAACCCACGTAGCTTAGAGTCACTTGACACAAGAAGGCCCCCTTCTCAGAGCTGATGAGAAAGGATCCACCATGACCCACGTTTTCAGTATGGAGTCCTGGGGTATCTGGACCACCAGTGAACCTGATACTGGGTTCAGGATAGGAAAGGAAAGCAGAGATATGGTATTTAGCAAACAGAGTTTTCTATTCCCCCAGGGTACAGCTGATCTGGGTTTGCATAGGGCCCCAGCTTCCAATATGGAGGCCCTTTGATGTAGTCAAGATGACCCCCACCTTGATAAGAAACTGGGCAATCAATATTCCTCCTCCAAACTGGGGCCCATGACCCCTTTCATGATCTCAAAAGAACTTAAAATCATAGGAAAGAATTTGGAGCTGGCAGGGAGCTCAGAGACCATCTAGTCCAAGCCCCTTATTTTACAGATGAGGAAACTGAGGCTCAGAGAGTCTTGCCTAAATTCACAGGAGTAGCTAAGCAGCAGAGTGAGCATTCTGATTCAACTCCAAAGTCACCAAAGGGGAAAGGCTGCAAGGTCCAGGAGGAGGGACAGGGGAGGGGGGAGAGAGCCTCAGTCCCAAAGAGAGACTTCATATTTTAGGAAGAGGAGACTCTCACCCCCAAGCCTGGACCAGGCTTTTAAATTCAGGCTTCTAACTCAGACGACAGACCTTTGCAAAAAGGAGAGTGGACCAGGCGGGCCTGCAGACTTCTTCGGCCATTGACAAAAGGAATTGCAAGAGGCCTGACAGATTGCTCAGAAGGGCTCAGAAGCCATTAATTAAAGACTTGTCTTATGCAGACCCACTAGCCCAGCAAGAATGAGGTGGCTTTCTCTCTGGGGCAGTCAGAGAGAAGGAGACGGTCCCTCTCCCCAGGAAAAAAAGGAGGAAGATGGGGATTGGGGAGGGGCAGACTTCAGGAAGTTGAGTCATTGTGGGGCTGAGATGGCGAGAAGCCCAGGGGGAACCAGGACCAGATTTCTTCCCCCCTCTTGCCATGGCAGGGATGGCTGCAAGAGGAAGCCAGGGCTGCCAGGTCAGTGGGGGGTGTCAAGGAGCAGTGGGAATCCAATTCCATTTATAAGGCATCTATTGAAAGCCAGCCTTGGGCAAGGCGTTGTGCTGGGCAATGGGGTCAGAAAGATCAAGGAAAGCCTAGTCCTCTCTCTCACGCTTGTGGTTTGGAAAACCAGTCTGAGAGCCTGGAGTTGAGTGGGTCCCCAGTAAGAGTCAGTGGCTGTGATGAGAGGCTGTTCTGGGAATAAATTTGCATTTGATAAGAGGATCAGGGAGGCAGGCTGGGCAAGTGGTAATATGGAGCTTGGGAAACAAGGCAGTGTCTTTGAGACTTTCCATAACAACTTTTCTTTTTAAAATAGACCTGAGACTTCAACACTGTCAAAGGAATCCCAGTGAGAAACAGTCTACATTGCAGGTCTAAATTCTTGGCAATTTAGCTGCTTAGAGGATTTCCTGGGGTCCTGAGGGTGGTGTCCACAAATGTCCCAAGCTTCCAAATCTGCTCTCTAGGCACCATTCCATGCTGATGCCCTCATGATAACAATGATTTCCATTTCTTGAATGTTCTAAGCACCAGAGAGGCAGCACTGGAGGAAGAGCCTCAGAGCCAGGAGAAGCTCACTCTCACATAGACTGGCCACATGACCCGGGCGCATTGCTTCACTGCTCAAGGCTCTAGGAGCCTCTCTGAGTCTGTAGAAGCTGCTAACCTTCACCTAGAAGTTCTCTATGCCAGGGACATCACAAGGCCAGTCCCTATCCCTTGAGCACTTTACAAACATTTTCTCATTTATTCTCACAGTCCATGAGATAGGTAAGTGCCATTGTTATCCCCACTTGCAGATGAGGAAATGGAGGCTCAGAGACATCATGGCTGGCCCAAGATCACACAGTTAAGAGGTGGGATTCAAACAAAGGTCTTCTGGACTCCAAGTCCAGCACTAAAGTGATGGAGAGGGACTAACTCAAGTTAGAGGGGGAGAGCTAGAGAAACTCTGAGAGAGACAATAGTGTCAGAATAGACCCCGTGTGTAGGGTTAGGTAACATCATTAGATGTAAACTCCTTGAGGACAGGGACTGTCTCTTACCTCTTTCTGTAACCCCAGAGCTTAACACAGAGCCTGGCACATAGTAGGTACTCAATAAATGTTGATTGATTGATAGCCCACTAGCATGCCCCTCCTCCCTCCAAAATAGGGTATGCCAGTATGGAATGAGCAACAACAAGATGGTGTAAGATCAGATTCTTTTCAGTACAATGTTTCTTAAATTGTGGGCATCTGAGCCCTGAGCAGGGTGCCAGGTGAGCGTAGGAACTGAGCATGGTGAAAAGTCTTCTGAGCTAGAGTCCAGAGCCGTGAGAGGGAAAGGCCAGTCTACCTTCCTTTGTCTTTGAAGTTCTCCCATCATTCCCCAGAAATCTCCCAGATGGGTGACACTAGGGCTGTGCCCATCCCAAGATGTTTCCCCTCCATTCCTGTTCAACCCAACCAAGATTCAGGACGGTCCACAATGCTCAGGAATTAGCTGCAGCCTGGTCACTATATCCAGTTTCCACCAATGGATTTTGTTTTCCTTTCAGGACATCTCTGATCCAGGAAAACCACCCCTTTGTGCCCTGCCTCCTCTCCCCTCTCCAATTTGATGATATTGCAGAAGGGGCAGTTACCTTAAGTAAGTCACCTCTCTAGGATTTAATATCCTGGTGTACAATTCAGTTAATAAGTACCTATTAAGCACCTCCTATATACCAGACATTGTGCTAGGCATTGGGAATACAAGTACAAAGAACAAAACAATCTTTATTTGCAATGAGCTTACATTCTAATGGTTGAAACAATTAGTACATAAATGACACACACCATAAATATTGTTAATAAAAACATATATATGCAAAATGAAGTGGGTGGACTAGATGATTTCTAAGGTCCTTTACAACTCTGAGTGATCCTTCATATTCTAGATGAGGACTCTGAAGCCAAGAAAAAGAAAATGACTTGACCAAGGTCACACAGCTAGTAAGCTGCCAAACTAGAATTCAATCCAGCACTTTTTTCACAAGAGTATTCAGGTGAAATGGCCACATTCTTTCCAGAGGGAACATCTGTTATACACCCAAAAAACTTCCAAAATTCCTCCACTCAGGACGTCAGCGTACAAGTCCCAGTCCAAAAGCCATTGAAAGGTGGAACCTGGTCCCCTGTGAGACCTAATGCTCAGACGGAGAGGAAGAGGTGCCCCACTGCCCTGGATGCCCTGGCCTCTTCACCATCACCTGTCCATCTGTCCAAGGGACTAATCAGGGAATTGCTCCCTTAGAGGAATGGGCTCTGACTTTGTACCTGGTTTCGAAGCCTTCTGGAGTCTTCCCTAAACTCCCATCCAAGTCTTTCTTCTTGAGGTTTTCTTCACTGTCAGGCATGCTGAAGGGGTCCTGAGGAGCTGACTGGGCAGCACTGGATAACGGATCCCAAGAAGCATAAAAGTGACTGACTGAGCACTTGCAGGCAGCCACAGTAACTAGAGAACTTAAGGCAGTGGGGGGAGGAGACAAAAGTCCCACCAAAGCCAACTCCTCTCCCCCCTCCCTGTTTTGAAGCATGCTCATAAAGTCTGGGAATTGCAGGTTGTCCAGTGTGGGAGCTGTCCTTTCCAGCTCTCTTCAGTTGAGTGAATCATGAGGAGAATTTCAATAAGAACAGTGCGCTTTTTGATGCAAATTGCCCCCAGGACGCCCAGCCAATCAGCTACTGGAATTCTGGAACTTCTGGGGCGTGGAGTTTTCTACTCAATCCTAGTTTTTAAAGGACTGAGAAAAGGTGGTCCAGGATTCACTGAGGATTAGTGAAACTGAGATATGACCTTAAATTTAAGTGATCAGTGACGTGTAATACGCGAGAGAGATGCTCCCCGTTTACACTGGAAGTGGTTCAGTCAAGTCTGTGGCTTCTCCTTGCTCCCCAGAAAATGTCAACCTTTCCCTTACTCCTTCCCTCCCCTCCCTCCTCTGCCTCCTTCCTTCCTTCTCTCCTCCCCCATCCCCTGCCCTGGAGGTAGCAGAATGGAATCAGAACCATTTAGGATTTAGAAGGGAAAGGGAAGGGAACAAGCATTTTTTAAGTGCCTACTATGTGCCTGGCTCTGTGCTAAGAGCTTTACAAACATATCTCATTCCATCCCCACCACAGTCCAGGTGGGTAAGTGCTACTTAGTGAGGCCTGGGACCTGGGTTCCAATCCTAATTCTGCCACTTATTGACTGTGTAACCCTAGGCAAATCATTTAACATCTCTGGTCCCAATTTCCGTACCTATAAAATGAGAATACTAGACTAGTCATGGGTTCTTCACCCTTTTTGTGTCCTGGACCCCTTTGGGCAGCCTGGTGATGTCTATGGGATGCTTCTCTGAAAAAATATTTTAAATGAATAAAATAAAATACAAAGGATTACAAAAGAAACCAATGATATTGAAAAGCTATTGGAAAAAAAAGGTTTGTTTTTATTTTTAAAGAGCTTATAGACCCCAGTCAAGGAACTCCTAGACTGGATAATCTCTAAAGTCCCTTCCAATCTCTAAATCTGTGATCCCATGATGCGATGACCTCATTGGGATTGAATTTCTTTATTTGTAAGATGTAGTTTGGGGACTGGATGACCTCCAAGGTTACTGACAGCTCTAAAGCCTGTGATCCCTCTATGATCCTCAGACTTAGCCCAAGCTCCTACCTACTGCAGGAAGCCCCAGTGCAGCCTCCTTAACAGTGGCTCATTCATCCAGCCTCTGCTTGAACATCTTCCTCCATAAAAAGAGATATTTGGTGCCACACTGGAAAATAAACAAAAGTTGAGCAAGACTCATAATGACTGTAATGACATGAGCACCCAAGTCAAACGCTGAGGAATTGAAAAACCACTAATGACCCAGGAGAACATAATGAAATAAACTTCCTTCTTCTGGGCAGAGAGGTAGGGAGCCTGAGGTAGAATGTTGTGCACCATAATCAGATGCAGTCACAGCACAGGTTGTTTTTGCTTGAGTCTTTTTCTTTGTTTCAAGAGAAGGTTCAATTTCAGGGAGGTAGGGAATATTCAGGAATGATGTAAAAACAAAAGGCATCAATGAAATGAATTTTCTTCTAAATGAGGGGAAATGGGCTAGATGATCTCCAAGGCCCAAGCTCTGATATTGTGTGCTTTGTGTTCTGTAAGGTGCTAAATTGGCTGTGAATCTTGGGATATTATTTGCCAGACACCATGTTCGGTACCAGGGACACAAAGGCAAAAAGGAAAGTCTCTGTAGCTTATGTTCTTTCAGGGGAGACCACATAGACACAAAGACTCAATTAATCAACAAGCATTTATTGAGCTCCCACTATGTTGCAGGCACTATGTTCAGCACTGGGGATAGAAAGACCAAAAAGGAACCAGCTCCTGTCCTTGAGGTGCTTATAGTCTATTAGGGGAGATGATATGTGCGTATAATATAGTAGGTGTATATATGACACATACAGAATGGATGGAAGTAAGGCTCTACAAGACAGATACATTTTTTAAAAATAAATATAAGGTAGTTTTGGATAGGAGTGTGTGGTAGCTGGGGAATGGCAGGAAAGGCTTCACATAGTGAAGGCTGCTTGAGCTGACCCTTGAAGGAAAGCTGAGATTCTAAGAAGAAGAGAGTAGGAGGAAGGTAGGCTTGACGTGAAAGTAGATCGTACAAAGGTCCAGAGGTAGAAGATGAAACGTCAGGAGGGAGGAACTGAAAGAAGGCCAATTTGTAGGGACCAAAGAGTATGAAAGGGGCCTAGGTACGATAAGCCTGATAAGATTGTCTGGACCTTATTTTTAAAAGGTTTTAAATGCCAAGGAGTTGAGCTTGTATTCGATCTTAAAGGTAATAGAGAGTCACTAGAATTGACTGAGCATGAGAGACATAGTCAGAAAAGTGAAGTCCAGGAAGGGCACTTGAGTCGTCCAGGGACGTACAGGTGCTAAGTGGAAGCAAAGTGAGATCCAGAGAAGGTAATTGAGCTGCCCAGACCCATACAGGAGAAAAGAGTGGATGCTGCAATGTGAGCCCATGGTATCTAACAGCAAATCCAGTGTTTTCCCATGACCCTACATTTTACTAACTAGACTGCGAGCTCCTTGAAGCTCAGCATTCTGCCTTCTCCTTCTCTACCCCCACCCCCGCCATAGTCTAGAACAGGTTAGAGACTATACCTCATTAAAATGCCTCTCATAGATGTGTTAAGATCATTGAAGATTTCCTGAAAGGGACAAAAAGAGAGATAACATTTTCAGTGATCCTTGGATTATTATTATTGACTGAGCCATTAGATAGGAAGACATGTGGTCCCCAAGCATGATGGAGTATGTCCTAGGCAGAAGTCGTATGGAAGAGGGATTCCCTGTAGAGGAGAAAGCCCTCCAGATGCTCCTATTTGAAGATGACATTATGCTGATTGCATCAACTTCCAGAACAATGCAGAAACTGGATGAAACAAAATGAAAGTCATAATTACTCAAGAGTTCAGCCTAACAATTCACACAGGAAAAACCAAATGGATGAATCATATTTATTGGGGGCAGCTAGGTGGCACAGTGGATAGAGCACTGGCCCTAAAGTCAGGAGGACCTCAGTTCAAATCCGGCCTCAGACCAAACACATGTCACATACTAGCTGTGTGAGCCTGGGCAAGTCACCTAACTCCAATTGCCAAAAAAAAAAAATTTATTGTCCAGTCTATGGTTTTAATTGGATAAAAACCCCTTGGAGTTGGTCCATCAGAACATGTAGTAATCAATCAATATTTATTAAGCAACTGCTGCATACTCCACTGAGCTAGGGGCTAAGGATACAAAGGCAGACAATGAAATAGTCTCTATTCTTGAGGCATTTACATTCTATGTATCTTGGACAATGAGCTGAAACCAGAGTTGAAAAGGAAAAAGAGACTGGATTGGATTTGTACTTCCATCCATGGATGAATCTGTGATGTAAAAGTGCTGCATATCACACCCCATTCATGCCTACACATCCTGTGTGATTCCTGCATATGTCTTATTGTAAACCTACCCACCCAGTGTGCTAGAGGCTTTCTCTTCAATCTTTTAACATCATTTGGCTACCAGTGAGGCACACAGGCACAGCATCCCTTTGGACCCTGCCATCCCTCAAGCTCAGGGAGTTAATTTACTCAGTTTGGGGATTCTGCCCTGGGGAAGGGCTGCCCAGTTTGGAAGGTGAGAGAGTCAATCAACCTTTCCCATACCCCAATTTTGTTTCCACATCTTGCCCAGAAAACTTCAATCAAATATGTATTGCCATTGCTGCCAGAAAGATATGACAATCTATAGCCCTACAGCCCTACTCACAACTCTATGACTACATAGACCAAAGCTCCCTTCCCTGGCCACTGCTCCCTGACATATGTTATGTTGTATCACTTTACTAAAATGGAGGTACCTTGAGGGCAAGGATTATATTTTATTTGTAATTATCTCCTCAGTGCCTGGCACATAACAGATATTTAATAAATGTTTTGATTGTGACAGATGTTAAATTGGCTGTGAATCTCAGAATATCATAATCTATGAAGAATCAAAATTGTGGTCACCCAAAGGGCAATGGTATAGTGGAAGTAAAGAGACTGTGGTAGATTACAAATGCCAATATAAGTGCATAAAGAAATATGAAATATCATCAAAGAGACACACAATTAGAAAAAAAGGTAGAGAAATCATGGAGTAAGAGCAAGGGAAGACTGACAGATAGCTTTCATGTTGTATTCGTCCCCTACCAATGTCAAAGGGAAGGCTATCGCCATGTTGGATAAACCCAAGTGGAACACATAAAGGAAGACAAGGAGGAAAGTTGCAGAGATTAGGAAGGTAGTAATGGGTTGCTTGCTACATCATAGTGATGAGATCCTTTGATGCACTGAAAGAAATTAATAATCTGCTGAGGTTTCTCCATCTCTGCAAACATGGCCCCCTTCTCTTGTTCTAGCCAATCCATTGCTAAGACTTGACCGTGTTGCCTCCTCAGTATCTCTTGCATGTCCCCACTTACCTTCTTTCAGATGGCCACCAGCTTGGTTCAGACTTGCATCAACTTTTACCTGGACTAGTGCAGTAGCCTCTCCGTATATGCATCAAGTTTCTCCCCTAACCCTAATTCTAACTCCACCCTCTATAAAGTTGCCGAATGGATTGTCATTTCACCATGTTACTCACCTGCTCAAGAAGCTCAATGGCTCCCAATCACCTTGAGGAGCAAATACAAACACCTCAATTTGTCATTTAAAAGCCTTCATAGGCTGACTCCCACATCCCTTTCCAGGCTAACAGCACATCACTGGCCTCTATGCATTTTGCATTTTATGTCCAAGCCAAACTCTTCTATTTGCTGTATCCAGTACATGACCTCACCTTCCATCTCTTTGCATAGGTTGTCCCCCCCGCCCCCCCCCGTGCCTAAAATGTACTCTCTCTTTCCCTCCACCTTGAAGAATTCTCAGCTTCCTTCAAGGCTCTGCTTAAGGCCCACTTCCTACAGGGTTATTCTGATTCCCTCTTTTGCTAATATATGCCCCCAAACAATCACTTTGTATTTATTTTGTTTATATCTAATTTGTAGTTGCTTGTATTCAAG